TTGTAAGTACAATGAAATGGAATATTTGTAAGTACCATGGTATGGAATATTTGTAAGTACTATGAAATGGAATATTTGTAAGTACCATGGTATGGAATATTTGTAAGTACTATGAAATGGAATATTTGTAAGTACAATGAAATGGAATATTTGTAAGTACAATGAAATGGAATATTTGTAAAATACCATACCAATAATATATTTTCATTAAAATGAAATATTTGTAGAGTTCTGTAGAAATACAATAAAATGAACAAAAGAAATTTGTATATCCTTTTAGTTTTAGCAGATTTTACTTAAAAGAAAAAATGTGTAAAGCATCAGGTGGAATTTGGTAAGTTATCGAGTTCTGGACCCAGGGCCACAAAACATTTCTCATGTCAATCTTAGTTTTTATTCGAATTTATTCTGCCCCTTGCATCACGAAAAGGTAAAATCCGAAGATCAATGTGATTATACCAGAAACAGTGTGCTCTTAGTAAAAGATTGATATATTTTTTCTAAGATGCAATCAGTTGTGCACCTGTAATAGCTGCAAAGTATGAAAATATGATTGTGGTCCCGGAGCCAGGTTTTTAACACGATTATATCACGAAATAATAATGTATATAGATCTAATATGTACTAATTTATATATATGTGATCTGAGAATTATTTTGAAATTACTGAAATGTGGCTACCTTGAGAAAAAAAATACTTTCTTGTTGAGTATCAAAAATACATAGACAACATACATTAATTTAAATCATGAAAATTATAGTAAATTGGCCTGTACGCGCTAACTGTGGTAAATTATAAAGAACGGCTTAAATAATTATATAAAAATACCATTTAAATACTAGCTCAGAATCTTTAAGATAATTTTATATTCATTTTAAATAATCGGCGAGTGACGATAAGAGTATCGATTACCCCCCTTTCTTCACGCGCTTTAATTCGTCAAGGGGAATAATCGACAATTTATTTTATTGTTGACGCTAATTTTAATACTGATTTTATAGCGACTGTGAAAGGAAAGATGCAATAATGTATAAATTGGGGAGTTTTATTTAGTTTTTGTCTGACACAATATTGGATTATATTGTTTTAAACTTTCCGTATCAAGCGTATCATTTTACCAATCTACTCACCCGGTAATAATTATTGAGTGCTGGAATGCTGCCATTAACTGGTATGAGTCCCGCTCAGTGAGTTGGATTAACTCAAAATATCAAAATCATACATTTGAATTTTCTTCACAATATTGTATATTATATGACTTTGAAGTTTTAAATTATAGATTTAAAAGAATTAAACCGATCTGTTATTCCTGTACCTTATTTCACTTTTAAACATTAATTCCAAACGCAAACAAAACTGTTATATATTTATATATAAAAAATGTGCTTATTAGCTTTTTGAGACGTTTTCAGTATAAAAAAATAGATCTACGGAATGAGGTCCTCGGAAATACATTTTAAAACCTCAAATATAAGTATAAAAAGTGACACTGAAAGTTTTATGGTCGACAACTGAGACTTTGATCTGTATGATTTGTACAGATATCTAAAGGAAAGAAATAAAATATTTTGACGAGTATTAAACTGCTGGACGGGGATTCATAGTGAGTGAAAGATAAGTAGAGGAAATAGAAAGCTTATACTAACTTATATCTAAATGGTTGTTAGAGATTTATGCCTTCTATATTTCTGTGGGAAAATCAGATTTCCTGGCAAAGGTTTAGCTGAGGAGCATAATCATTACTGGGTTGAAAAATGTTACGATTCTATTTTAGTGTACTTGTTCTGCTTGAAACCCTGGACAACTTATAGCCTGATAGCCAAAACTAAGACCTCAGACTCATTACCTAATGATAATCTAATGAAGTTGAAATGACAGAACCTTAAAGTTTGATTTTTAATACATTTAGTTTAATACCGATATATAAATGTTTGTGTGATGACAGAGTATAAAGATGTCAAGATTGTCAAGTCCCCTTCCAGCTATACTTACTATAAGCAATAAAATACTGAAAAGTCTAGACTAGTATATCTCTATATTAGTACATCACAGTAGGGACCTGCTGGAAGCGGACATTAACTTGTCATCTACCAACCATCCAGGGACCTGTTTGATATACAGAGTCCCCTCGATATTTGGAACGTAAGCTTGTTTCGGGTGGATTAAGAGGTCTTCATACCATTATTTTCCTACTGTATATAAATCCACTACAAATATTAATTTTTAGCAAGGCAGATCATACTGACCTTTTTTGAACACCGATGTCAATTGCCAACTTTTTAACCTAATAATATATGGGAGATATTCAATTAATTCTCCAAGTAGAATACCCAGAAAATATTGTAGAACCTCAAAACTATCATTTATACGATGGTTGACATTCTAAATGGCCACAAAGTTTACGTCACGTTTCGGAACAACCTGCATGCGTTTGTGGTCACTATTTTGAAGACGTCGAGCATTACCTCATCCACGGCTCCTTACATTTGGATGCCCGAAACATGACTATCAATAAACTTCCATCAAAACTTATCAATTTAGATATCTTGCTTAATGAAACTCAGCTTGAGTCAGAGGAAATTTTTAAAACTGTTCATAATTTCATTTCACTTTAAGTTATTATTTCTAAATTATTTTTACTAGTATGATCGATATTATTATTATTATTATTATTATTATCATTTTTCCCTTTTAAAGCAGCCTCACTTTTTCCATTTGAAATAATTGTACATACGTTTGAGTTTACATAATATATATATATATTTATTTACTTTTCTATTGTTTAAATTCAATATTTTGAAGTGAAATTTAAAAGATCTGAAATATAAGACTTATATTACCATTTTGGATGTTTTTTAATTCTTATTATATGATTATGCTATAAGTTCGTTCCAACCCTTCTTTATTACGGATAATACTTGTAAGCGGTCGATAAATGGTCCAATTTGGTCAAGTCTTTGGTGAATATCACAAGTTACATTTACAAGACTTGTCTTATTGATAAAACCAAGTTGTCCATCCCTAGCGTGGCTGAATTTTATTCCATTAAAGGTAGAAGACTTCACAATAGATATAATTGGTCTATTAAACTCTCTTTTATTGAAACAAAATTATTTTTTATCTTTTCCATTAAGCTTATTACTGGTTGTTGGGTCAGTTTTGTTTTCTTTAAAGACACCTGACAGCACCTTAATTTTGACATCAACTATTCAATAGAGCTGACAGAAAACTAAAAGTCGTGTGAATGTAATTCGTGTTCAAGTCACATGTTTTGCACGTGTAGATTATAGCACGATCCATGTGTAAAAGGTAATTAAAAGATGTTAGAATGTATTTCCAGAATGAAAAAATGTTGCGTGTTGAAAGCCATCTTTATTCTGGTATCTGATAAGTAGAACCTCTTCTTCTCGTGAGAGAGAATGAACGGAATCATGAGAACAAGTTCCGATAGCTGATTGAACACAGTCTAAACGTCATCGTAATTTATAGTCCAAATATAATCTCGAAAGACTCGTTTATCCGCACATTATATCAAGAATTAAAATTGTACCTCAGTTTAGCGGGTAATTAAATTCAAGCCGGCCATTAAATATTGAAATAATATCAATAATGCAGACTTTTTGATGTGAACATGAATCAGGGGAGATATGGTTTGCCAATATAGCAAACGTCACTTCCGTTAGTTAGTTCAAACAATACTCTCTGTAGAAGAATTGAATTAAAACATATTTTATAACAATTTGTAAAAGGATTTGGAAAAAGTTGTTAGAACTTACTAAGTACCATTCCATGGTGTATAAGAATCAGACGTCAGATTTACATATTGAAGGTGATACGGGTAAGGAAAATAATAAAATTCACATTATTAACATTTAATAAAAGAGAAATAACAAAATGGGATATTGAATCTTACTTTGGAGGATCGAATTTGAAATGACACTCTGCAATGCGACTCGACACAATGACCGGATTGTTTTCCATCAGAGTTACAGTTTCAGTATCAACACCACCATTAATCTGGAATGTAAAATTGGACGTATTTTGCGTGTCGAAGATTGAGATCAATACCCGTTTTAATACAGAACCAAATTAATTGGCTTACAAAATACTCATTGTTATTTTATGAGGCGGATTGATACGTCAACAAACACTTCACTCCCTCGGGGGACGGGCCTCTTAATATCCAAATTACATATCACGTGACATTGAAAGATGATACTCTGAGAATTGTGAGGAAGTGAGGCTGGATTCTGGAGAACTGTTTTATACTTTGATCGTTTTGTCGTTTCTTTGAATCATTAGATGGGTGAACTAAAGTCCACGGGCACCCACCCATAAGGTACTCCAAACCCCAGAACAAAATTCGGGATAGAAATTTCCCGGAGGAGGAGGGAGCAACCAACTTAAGTCCCTACGTATCTAGGTGAGCCACTGACAGACAATATTATCCCCGTATGTATTACGATACATATTTGAATAGCTGTAAATGGAGTGTCTGACAGGGTTCTCATCAAAGCATTTTGGGTCAGGAGTGGATTGGGGTCGCACGAGAGGAAAGGTGCTATTTATGCATTGGCTCTTGGACCCTGTTCCATAAGTGATTGACCAGTCAGATGATTGGAATATAGAATATTAACAATGGGTTCTTGAAGCATCCCTCGTAAAATGTTAACAGGATCTCGCAGGTTTGTGACTATCTAGGCGGTATGCATAGGCTTAAATATTTTGATATTTCCATAGTCAGATATAACTTTTTGGCTTATTGACTTGGTGAGACTAATAGGCCAAGCGAAATGTTTTATAATTATGATTTTGCAGTTTGGTTGGTAGATGACAAATTAACGTTTTGCAGTTTGTTCTTTGTGTTTTGTACACGCCGTGATGGTTAATGCAATGTTGAATGAAAGGGGAAGAACTGTGTTTAAAGTCTATTTTTAGAATATTTTTTTAGGATTCCCTTATTTTTACGTCATATCCGGGTATTTCCCAAGAAAACAAAGATGGCTTCGTGTTTTTGCTGTTTTCGGTGTACAAACTCTCTTTTTGGGCCAGGCCATGTTCCACTTAAAGAGTTACCCGTTGTCAAGTTAGATACATCACATATGGGTAAGGCTTTATGTTTTAGATCCATAAGCATTGAGTTATTCGGCTGCTTACAATTTTATTTTAAAAAACATAAACAGCTGAATCTTTCATCAAATATTGCCATTCATTGCATTTAATTTTCACACTAATGAGAAAATATTTCATTATTGTCAACACAATAAACCCTGACGTAATAAAATCATTCTTTATTTTTAACTAGCTTATGCCTGATTTCCATAAATACTGTAAGCTTACACAGATGGCATTACATACTGTGACTTCATTGTCAACAATGACAATGTATCCAACCCACTAACAACGGTAACGCAAGCAATCAGTTTTGTCTCTACATTATATATTATCGCTAAGATACTTTGATATCAATATTACAATCCTATTTCAGGCAATGATGTAGTTATAGTGAAAAATGGTAAAAGAATTTGTGGAACTGGGGCAGCCCTTGCCAATGCTCCTATTCTACAAAATAAAGCTTATTTTGAAATCAAAATTCAAAGTACAGGTAAGCTGACAGTTGATACATAGGAATAACATGGGCTGAATGTTAGACAAAACCATGGATATCACTTTGGTGTTTCACCCAATTCTTAAACATGAGTTTGATTATATTTTGTTCAGGTAGTTAGGAAGTTATTTTATTTATTAATAAATACACAATTGATCTGAGCTAAGAAGTTCCTTATAATGGTAGCTTCAGATTTAGTCTGATTATAAGCTGTTCAGGATGTTTAGTTTGATATTCTTTCTGTTTCAGATCAATTGATTTGAAGTGTAAATCAATGATCACTAGACTTGCCTTAGAATAACTAAGATACAATGCTATTTTATCAATTTTAATGATTAACGAGTGGCAATGTCATTTGAATTCTAGGTATATGGGGTGTAGGGTTAGCCACACAGAATACAGACGTTAACAAGGTACCAATAGGTGAAGATGCTGAATCCTGGGTATTACGACATACTGGAGAATTAGTCCATAATAAACAAGTTCTAAATAAATTATCACCAGTTCCACAAGAAGGAGATATAGTGGTAATTATGAATCATTTACAGTTAAATTGTGTTGAAAACTTTCAATGTTTTAAATTCTCAAAGGACCCAAGTAATGAAAGACTTAGTTCTCAATGCAGCGAAATCTCTATATTAATACAGTTATTCCTTTGAGAGAACAGTAAAGGTGATAATAGACTTTCTGTTAAGAACATACTGGTTGATGCTTTTGAGTCTAAATCTACTATGGTATATGTAATAACGTTGCATAAAACTTTAACCAGTAATTGTTGTTCCATAAAGCTGTGTCTATATATTGTACTCACAATTGCTAAATGCCATTCAAACAATCTATAGTATCTATTCTCTGCCTATTTCAGGGTCTAAGTTTTGATCATATAGATTTAAAGTTTTATATTAATGGTGAAGTAACAGAGAAATCTGTAACTGGTATTAAAGGAACAGCATTCCCTATCTTCTATGGTAGGTTATGATTGTAAAGTTAATTGGATTCAAAAGAGATATTTTGTACATTGTTGTCTATCCAAATCCTATATGACTAGAAATACTTGACATCTCTAATAGAAAAACCTCTAAAGTGTTTGAGAAAGATGAGCACCAGTTACATTATTTTATGTAGAGCTCAAATCAAATAAAGTCTTTGTGGACTTCCTGAAAGTTACAAGTTCAATGCAGTCATGCAGAAGAGAAAGATGTGAAACTCTGATCAAAAGCTCATACATTGCAAAGGTGAAGGATGTAAATTAATTTTGTTTTAGTTTTTGACAACACTCCAGTTAATAAGTTTGAAATTGTCTTCTATTTCAGTTGATGATGGAGCTGTATTAGATGTTCAGTTTGAGAAGTTTTATCACACTCCACCTGATGGTTATGATAGTATAATGATAGAACAGTCATTACTGTGATTGTAGATATCTCTCTAGCTGTTTATATCTTAACTTATCATAGCTTCTTAATATCAGCCCAGAATGAGTGGTGACATTGACCCCATAATGTGACATCATTGACCCATACCATGATGGCACATCTTCCTTACAATGTATCCAACTTATTGTAATGACATAGTGTTTTGATGTGTATAGGGCATTATTTCATTGGAAAAAACCCATCACAAGGTGTTGGGTTTTTTCATAGGCCTATGTTGCATTGATAGTTATGAGGAAAGCCTGTGGAACTGCAGTAAGACATTTTGAAATATAGAGGAGCAAGAATACTAGTTTTGATCAAAATGATTATTTTAAAGTGGTGGTGAACAGTGAACCAAATCAAATTGTAGAGAGAATTGTTAAATATGGAAAAGAAAGATTAAATATTTGATTACTGTACTTGTTCCACTATACCTATGGCCAAATTTGCTCTTAAATAAAATGTTTGTGATGAACAAAAATAAAATCTAGGGAAACAAAAAAATAATTTGATCCACAGAAATTGTTTTTATTATTTTACATCAGATAAAATTTCAGATCAATAAAAATGAACAAGGTTATTGATTTCTTGAATTCATTCTGAATGTCAGTATCAATGAATTATAATGTAATAATAGCAAGCTTTCATTATATCTGTCTAGTTTATATTACTGTCTTCCTACATTGGTAATATTATTGTCTTGATTGTTGTTGTTTCTCAATCACCCAGAAACTTGCTGACTTCTATTTAAAGATCTGTTTCTTGTCTTGTCTTGGATTTTTGAACTAAAACTGTTTTCTGCGTGACAAAAAAAGATGAAAAATTAGGTTTAACCTATTTTAACCAACATCTACCAAACTGACCAAAATTGTTCACTGAGGAGAATCTTTTCATTGATTGTAACACTTAAGTACATGTATTAGAATATTTTCCGATTGAAGTATCTCATTGTTAATTTTCAAATGGTTTTTTGTTTTATACTGTATTAATATCATACAGAGCCGAATTATAATCATTATTGAAATACAAAACATTATATTTTTTATTGAATTTCAGATTAGTTTTTGATGCATATGTATTTAATGTTATATAACATGTAATAACCTTCACAATTAACAGTCAGCCAGATGCACCATTTTGGGGGATTGATTTGAGTCTTGAATATCTTGGTGCATCTGTCCCTTTAAAATGTAAACCCTTGTGTTTCGTTTCCTGTTTTTTCAGCAGGTTAAAACACTTCTCATTCATGATCTGATAAGATTTTTACCTTATACTATTAAAAGTTATCATGACAACATAGAAAAAACAAGTGACTGAGTTTGTTTTGAGAAAATAAAGAGTCTCATGTCATAATAAGTCTAGGTATTATCGATGTGATGTCATAATGTCTTTGTGTATCATAATGTAATAACTTTCGGTATTTGGAAAATCAGTACAGAGGATTGCTCTCTAGAGAGAATTATACTTTATTTACATAATAATTATATCGCATGCTTTATATAATTCTGATTGGTTGCTCAACATTAAAACGTCACAAGTCATGATATGACGTAATCTCGATTTTAATTTAAGCTACCCCAGTTCTCTAGAAGAAAACACAACTTCTGAGCACAATTTGAAGCAACAAATTTTATATTTCCCAGAAGGTAACCGCAAGAATATGACTAGTGAAGCAAAAATTGAGATGACTATATCACATTGACCTGAAAATTCCAAATATATTTGCTTTGATGGATCCTGTCTGTGTATATTAATGTTAATTGTAATTATACTGTATTTCTGTATAATATGTAAAAACTTTAAGTTTATTGTATATTTTGGCAGTACAAGCTGTAAATTTTGAAGCCTTGTTTGGTTAAAATGACTGTTTCTTGTTATGTGCAATAAATTCTTACAAACATTCCAAGGTACGTTTTTAAGTTGTTGTATTTAAAATGATAATATTGCGTAATAAGTATAATAAGTTGGTAGAAAATTTCCACTTTGTTTTGGTAAATAAAAAAGGGCACAATACAATTTATGATCAATGTTTCTCTTCCTAATATGTAATTTTCAATGATATTTACAAAAAAATACATTTCACAAATACAAAATATAAAGTTTGTGTCTTCTGAACTTATATTTCTGAGAGGTCTCTGGCTATTTGATGACTGAAAAAAAATAACTACACCGCTGAATTTGCCAATTCATGATGAAATGCCAACTATTCCTTCGCTGTCTTTATAGACTACATAATAATAATATCACTCTAAAACAGTAGGTAGCTGACTGATTGTTCTTGACTATTAAACAGTGAAAATAATTCTGTTTACAGACTGATTGTTCTTGACTATAAATGATGAGTTGGCTGTGGAAATGATTATGTTGGCAGACTGGAAGATCTAGACTATAAAACGGTTGATAACTGAGGAAATGGATTTTGTTTGCTGACGACCAGTTTTTTATGTTGATGTGAAATATAGCCCTTTATCTTGTTCTGAAAAAACAAAGAGAATTTTACATTTGAACATTGAAAAATGAACACCAATCAAAACAAAACTTTTTCGGGAATTGATTTATCTTGAAAAGAAGTGACCAGTAGGAGAACATTTCAGTCTGTATCAAAGTATTTCTTTGAACCTTCTTGTGTTCTTTCTTTGCTAGAAAATCAGACCTAATCCTACCTCATAAATAAGATTGGCTACAATACAGGCTGTTTCATCATCATCAACATCTTCTACCTATAAAACATAAACTCATAATTACATAGAACATATCAAGAGGTTGAAATCAGGGAAAACTAACACTTTTGATGCTTTAAATGTACACAATTTTTCATTCTAAATAAAAAGTTATTTGTAGCTAATGTTAAAGCAACATATTATGAATCACATCCATTTGTGATTATCATTATCAGATGTCCTCAATAAATTACACCCTTCATATCATTGAACAAGCATAAATAAGACAAACAATAATAAATCAGTCTACTACCGTACATACCTCCATCATTTTAAGAACTGATGTTAATGTCTCTATTGGTATTAAATGATTTTTGTCATATATTAAATACCTGAAAATAAAAAGACATGAGACTAAAATGGTGAAAAAATTGTTGTTTTCTTTTATAATTTGGGCTGCTGTAGAATAAATCGGCTGTTGATAAATAAATATATTAAGCAAACAATATTAGCTATGTGGACCATCTGAGTTGACAAACCAAATAATTGTAGAAGGGTATAAAAGAGGTGCATAGTCCAAACAAATCAAACTGTTACTTACACTTTTTTGAATAAATTCCTGTATGTGATAACTTTTAATTTTTCTAGAATTAAATAAATTCCACATTTAATAAAGAAAGCTTCATTTGTCTCTAGAGCTTCATTTAACTGTAATAGATTACCAGTGCTGAAAAAATTAATTGACAAAATAAGTGATAACAGCAAAATGTGGATTCTCTTAAAACAATGCTGAGATTGTGCTTGAATACAGAATAATATATTGACACTGAATAATTTTTACCCTTCCAAATCTAACATATCATTTACAATATATTATGTTTATTTCTAACAGGAATTAATATTAAGATCTTTATCAAATGATTTAAAAAGAACACCAACCTGACAGCTTTCACAACCTCTACAAACTGTGTTAAATCATATTTCTTTAATAATGTTACTTTCGGCATGTGACCCTGAAACATGGCAAATCAATCAATCAATAAATCAAGGTATTAATTACAGACAATATCAAAATAAAATCTATCAATCAATAAATCAAGGTATTACAGAGAATAACAAAATAAAATCAATCAATAAAATAGTGCATACATATAATGTAGTCTCTCTACAGTTCTGTAAGAATTCAAGGGTGTTGAAAATACTTGATTGTTAAAAAAATTCTATTTATATATATATTGGTGGTATCACAGTCAGAAAGACTTAACATATATGTAAACTACATATTTATTTGTTGAAAAGATTTATGTATGAATTATATATTATCTTTATCAGTATCTTACCAGTAACATTTTAACTGGTATAAGATATATCAATATCAATCTTTTATTCTTCTTACTTCTATGATGACAATGTTGAAATGCGAATGTTAAATAGTCTTCAGCTAGAAATAAAATATTATATTCAGCTAAAAGATGTGAGAATAAACTACGGATGTCTTGCTTAAAGAAATAAACAACTAAAAACTTCAGCTCTGCAGTTTATGACATAAATGAATATAATATATAACATATGAAGTCATTAGTAGCATTAAAGTACTTGTACACCACTTGTTTTGACAGCAAGGCTGTTGGAAACTTTAGACAGATATGACGGACACTGATTGCGAGCTAAATGTACAATAGAGGTATAATATACTTACCACTTTTAAAGTCACTGTCAAACATGGCCTTTCTTCCTACATAATATCTGGAAATACATAAAAGAAATTTAAAACCACATAAGAGATAATCAATAGTAATTCAAACATAAGATCTATCTTACATACTGACTGAACATCATTTCTTCCTTAGTAATTTAAAACTGTCAGATTGCCAACAAGCTAAATGGTAATGATATTGAAAGTACCAACCTGAATGTGATAAGTTGTGAGAGTGAAAATTGATCTTTAATTGGTAAACTGTCAATAGCTCGTACTAGAGGTTTACATAGGTGAAGTTTATTTATCTATAAATATATATATATATGCATGAGTATAACCTTATGTGCAGAAAGTCATAAATATTACAAGAGCTGCACAACAATTAAATTTCATGAAATCTACTTAAATAAATAAAATTTTGAAAAATAAAAGTTTGCGAAAGATGACATATTGTTAAAAGATAGTTACAAACCTTAAAATATATCTTAAATAATTGATTCACTAGATTTAACATTCCCCATTTTTTAGAGTCATCTATTGCTGCTCGACTGAAAATAAATACCCCAGTATGACAAACATTCTGAATACAGTATAATCAATTTAGATTCAATTTTTTTTAACTCAACCTGACAAGTCTTCAGAGCTCACAAAGTAAGTAGCATCAATGGATTATGGTACTGGAACAGAAGCTTATTTCTAAAACAGTTCATCTGGATTTGTCAATCAAAACCCAAATCTGTTCAGAAGCAGGAGTGCAAACATTAAATTGTAGATTTCACTTAATTATTTTTTCAAATAAAAAAAACAGCTTACTTATCACTAGCACAAACTCTAAAACATCCCATCAATAATTCTGCTGCTTTCTCTAGGTTTTCTCCTGGTTTACCTTTTCTCTTATTTACAGCTTGTATGTCAGCCTACAGACACAATAAACAATATCATACTATATGGACAAGTGATATCAATGCAAGACAATAACAAATGTCATTCAAAATCTTAATATTGTTTCTAGAAATAGCACACACTATGTATGTTGCTCAGCAGTTGAATAGTTTCCTATATCTCTTAAATCTTTAAGATACAAAACCCTGCATCAATAAGAATGTAGAAAATAATACTCAGAAGCTAAACTTACACTATTAGCAAACAATCTAAGATCTAAACAAACAGCATACATAACAGGTAAACACCAATTCTCTTCTTTCTGACTCTGAAATATCTTGGTGAATGTTGTAGGGTGGGGTTAAGAAATATAAGTTAAAACTTAAGTTAGACATTTTATATTTTTTATATCAAAACTTTGGTTTCAAAAGAAGTGTTTATTAAGAAGTGTGGAAATAATATAAATATCCATAGACTTGAATTATTTTGATCAAATATATCTAAAGATTCCATCCAATAACTCAATTCAATCAACTGTATTAGGAAGATGTAGTCCCCAAGTAAGAACTAGAAGTTCTATATTAAAGGATATTGTACAACTGAGGCCTGGCAAGTAGAAGCTTGTATAAAATCAAGATTAGATACACACCAACAACACCTGTAATATATCAAACACCCATTTAATACATCAAAAATAATTTCATATACTGTAATCAAAAGTCAGAAAACAAATTAGCGACATTGAAAAATTATATTTGATGTATGCACATACACATTTAATAATAACCCTACAAAAATAAACTGAGATTATTAATGAAATTCAAAGCTTATAACATCTATTTGATGTTTCAACTTGCAAACACATTTAGATAATCAAAAAAACTTTGTAGACTACAGAAGTAAATGTAAGGATTGACAAACCATGTCTGACAGCACTTTCAACTTTACGATCCATTTTAAGAAAATTACATTAGGTAAAGATATATGTACCTTAAATGGGCTGAGACTAGTTCATCATATGGTGGATGAAAAAACCTCTGACACTGAGATTCTGGTTCCTCTAGTTGTAGTCTGGGGTTAGCTACATGAGCATGTTTAAATGATAGTAATTCCTGAAAATCACAAAGAAAGTTTTATGATAAAATATTGATATTTAATTTATTTGTTGTAGTTTTGGTGTATCTAATAGGTTACCGCTACTGTAATTGATTGAAAAAAATGAGTTGCAAATGAATGTGTTATGTCAAATTCGGTGAATGTACCCCAAGTTAAAAGTATCATAAAAATATTATTTCATAAGTCTTAAACTTAAGTTAAAGTTATTATTGGCACTATAATGCACAGTTAACACCCCAACTAGTCTTACTATTAACCAATGATCTGGGACTTACAGAAACTTTGATACCATTGCCTCTTTGAATAGCATCTTCTAGCTGAAAACATAACAAAACAAATCAGTGTGTAAAACAGTGCCGTAGCCTACAGCTCGAACAACTTTTTTTTTATATAGCTTAAGACCATGGTTAGAAATCCAGCTTCAAAAAATCTTTTTTCAATTTATCTGATTAGGTTTAAATCATAAAAAGGACATGCTCTAACTCATAAAGAATGGAACAAAACAAAAATTGATTGGGTGAGGGGGGGGGGGGGGGGGGCTGACTTGATGTTCTGTTTATTATAAGCAGTTGTGGAATTGAAACCATATCGATTATCAATCCCATATCTATCCCACAACATCCACTCCTTTCAGAGTAGTTTTGGCAGTCATTTAGACTGAATTTAACTGATAAATTAGATAAATTACCATTTGAAGGTACGAAGAAAGTGAAAGATGCGCCATTTTGCAAAGAGTTCTCTCCCTTTAATATTCTACAGTCCAAAAATTGCATCATTGTTTCACAGTGATAGCCACAGACATGGATATATTTAGATAGATACGAATAGAATCCATAATTTATACCATAGAAAACACAAATATTAAAAACTGGATGATCATTCAAAGTATATTGATCTTATTTTCATTTTTGGACCAATGTTTTAGATTTTATGCTGAAGCAATGAGCAATAATTTTTATTAATGCACTTGGTTAATCTCAAATATAATTTTGTAATCTATCAAATTTTGAAATGATTAGCCTTAAATAAAAACTGAAAAACAGAGAATGAACGAAATTTAAATGTAATTTGTGATTGTCTTGTTGTCCACGAATCATCAAATAAAAAGATAATTTAATTTTTTTGAAGAAATAGAATCCATAATTATGTTTTAGGCGTTATCTGGAAAACAACATGGAGGAGAACGAAGATGTTTTACAAAATTTGCAGATTATTTTTCCAAATAACATTAACCCAAATGCTGCAAATATCAATAACTACCCAGAAAGAAAGAACATATACCTGGGAGAAACTGTAGCTCTATGTGCAGTTGTTGCCAAAAGTCCTGCTCTTGGATTAGATTGGAAAAACCGGGTTTCTCAATTTGCAGCCACAGCCAAATTCTCAATAATCGATGACACAAACAGACTGAAACAGAAGTCACCTAAGAAGGCGATGGGTGGATCAGGCAGCCTATTTGTTCCCTGTCCTGTGGCTGTCACATTAGCTTCTGATTCCTTTAGATCTGAATATGATCATGAAAAGGTATTTAATCTTTTCATTCTTGAATTCCAAAAAGTCAGGGCAAGGCTTCCCTAAAAATATTGTGATCAACTCTATTGCAAGTCTGGTATTTCTCAATGTAAAATTCCTCACCTACAATAAATCCTGAGGAATGGGACCCAGATCCTGATTTGCTGTTAGTTGAATTTATAAATAATAAGATTGGTCAAAATGATTTCTAGACCATCGCAATCATACAATAATTTGATCTAAATTTTGGATCTTATTTGCAGGTAGACAAAGCCTATTTTCTAGATGATACCCATTATCTATATCCACTACAAGCCACTCTAGATAATGTAGAGGGTTTGGTTAATAAAGCAGAGTTGACAGTTACAGCCTGGATGTTCTCAGCTCAACCTGACCCAACACCAGATCAATTAGCTAAGAAAGATTTCCACCTGGATAATCCTACATTAGAATTATTGAGGAAGAATACCGTTCATCAGAAAACAGGTATAAACTTTTAGGGTTGTATTCAAAGTTGCTATTTGTACAACAACTGATTGTCATATACAAAAAATGTTAGTTCTTCTTAGATTTTTAGATTCTAGTGGGTGTTCACTGCTCTCTTAATATGGTCATATTTTTTATGGGAATTTTTACTGAAAATGGGATCTATCAGACGATATTTAAGCAATTAGTTGATAAACAGAAACTATATATATATATATTTCAGTGAGTAAAACATTAAATGTAAGAAATCCTCCAGTGTTTAAAAGTAGAATAACTTCAACTGGTGAAAAACATCTTTTATTAACTCAAGGTTTGTGCATTTTATTCTTAAACCATTTTGTGTATATTCGTAAATATTAGCCTTGATAAACTATTTAGTGGTTGATATCTAGTTATATCTAGGGCACTATATCTCAGTGTTATGTTTGATATTTCAGTGTGTAATATAAGTAATGTTATGTTTGATATTTCAGTGTGTAATAAAAGTAATGTTATGTTTGATATTTCAGTGTGTAATAAAAGTAGTGTTATGTTTGATATTTCAGTGTGTAATATAAGTAATGTTATGTTTGATATTTCAGTGTGTAATAAAAGTAGTGTTATGTTTGATATTTCAGTGTGTAATAAAAGTAATGTTATGTTTGATATTTCAGTGTGTAATAAAAGTAGTGTTATGTTTGATATTTCAGTGTGTAATATAAGTAATGTTATGTTTGATATTTCAGTGTGTAATAAGAGTAATGTTATGTTTCATATTTCAGTCTGTAATAAAAGTAATGAGAAGATGGAGTTATTAGATATCAATATATTAAATACTGCCAGTAAATTTAATAGTATAGATGAAAATAGTACTGAGTCTAATTCATCAGATGAAAATAGGTAAGTAATCAGAACTGGTACTGTCTGTATTAATGCTCTTTGGTCAGTTTCATACAAAATATTATTAAAATGCATTAATACAATTTTTGATGATTTTCCACACAATTCAATTATAAGAGTAATGCCCTTACTAAACCATACAAGTTTTGTGATTAAGATTGCCATTTTAGTTTAAAAGAATTCAATTCAATTAGATTTATAATTTTGTATGCACATCCAGTGCTTTAAAGAGTCAATCCAAAGTCAACTGTATGTCTGTAACACAGCAATAAAGAAATAAAATTTTCAGTCAGATTCATATGACAGACTTGGCAGGGTAACTTAGAAATTACACATTTTTCTTTTTATACAGTTAGTTTTGATTCAAAATGAAAATACTATAGAAGTTCATTTAAAAGTATGTTATGATATGGACCATATTGTATTTGTTTAAAAATGGGTAGTATATCAGTATTATATCTAAGTTCAGTTTGATCCTGTTTATTTTGGTCCCTGTATATTACAGATATAAAGAGAATATATCATCTACTGTAAGATGTATTAGACTAGGCTCTAATCAACTACCTGTTACTCTATTACCAGAGGAAGAGATCTCCTGTATATTTACCTTAACATCTCAAACACCACACTCTAATATAGCTGAAATGGTAAGTAAGAAATTAATACAAGGAGGCATCAACTTGGAGCCAACTCCTTCCATATATTTCCAAACTTGACATTTTTTCAAGCACAGATTGCTGAAAAATGATTGTCCAAATGATAATATTAAAATGTTCTTAGACCTGGCCTTTTTAACATTTCCCCTTTAACATGTAGCAGTCACATTAATACTTGACCCTGATTATAACTGTTTATTTTTTAGGAGTTATATTTTAAATGTCAATTAAAATGGCGTCACAATTCATCATCTAACGATGTGTTAACAGTATACAGGTAGAGATATATTTATTTCATCTGATTCGATGTCATATCGTTGTAAGCTATTAGAAGAGAAGAAGGTGCAGATTTGTTTAAGACTATGAAACTAGAGTTATATGTTTGTATGCTGTTGATATAGGTACATTTAAAAATCTGAATTAGAATCTTCTAAATAGGAATATACTTTGCATGGATTTCTACAAATATTCAAAACACAATTAGTTCCAATATCTTTGACATCACATCCAGAGATAGTAAACTATTCATTTTCTGTTTACAGATTACCTAAATACAGTATACAATACGCACCTTTTATCATCTCTATAAACTGTACAGAAGATATTATTGTGGGTAAAAGGTAAGAATTAATGACCCTGCCAAAAGAAACACAATACGAATTAGGAAATTATAAGTATGAGGGGATATCAAGGTTGTGTCAATGAGATAAAGTATACATAAAATTGTGCAATGAATTTTTTGGACAATATATTCATTGTGGACACAAGTGCTTCATTATTAATTCATCAAGTGTGGGCAAATTTATTATTTTTGATATCTGTACCTGCCTATCCCGTCTTCATTAGCCCACATGGTGCAGAAAAGTAGGACGTAAAACTCCATTCATTTCATTTCATTTGTACCTGACTATCAACTAGAAACATTATATTTTATGATTATACAAGAATGTTATTTTATACACGCTTCCATTGTTCACTGATATAAACATCCTCACCCTTTCAGCAGAATGTTTAAACTGATTAACTGATGAATAAACACTGTGTGATAAATATTATCTGTAATATACTTTCAGTTTTACTCTGACTTACAACATAGTGAATAAACTACAGGATTTTTTAAGTATGAAACTTTACTGGAACTTGAAACAACAGTTACTACAGGCTCAACATCTAGGTATGGTCTGGTTTATGTCTTCCAACTTAAGAGAAATCTAAGGGAGAAATTAACAATTTTGATTGCTAGATGCTATAAGTATTATGTAAAGATAAAAGATGCCTGATCTGGTAAAAAATATTTTAACATCCTTGTTATAAAGATCCCTTGGGCCTTGACACATGAAAATTGACAAAATTTAGAGGAGGCAAACTGACATTGCTGTTCAATTATAACATAATATCGCAAAATTTCTCTCAGTGTACACAGAGTAGTGTTTCCCATTGTCATTTGCTCAAAAAGGTACAGAAACTAAGACATATGCCTCTACAACTGTAGCTGATTTTCTTATTTTCATTTGCCTAATCAGATGTAGAAAAGTAAGACATAAATCTCCATTTAATTTCATTTCTAGTTGGATGTATATTCATTACCAGTGTTTGTTATATTCTAGGTGTAAACAATAAAACTATAGAGAAACTAGAGATGATGAATAGAGCTGTTATATGTCATGATCCTGATGTCTATGTGGGGTAAGGTTATAGTCATCTAGAGAGTGCACAACCTATTAACCATCTCACCTTTGATCTAGTAAAATGATATTCTCATCACTAATAAATTATTATAATGACAATGCATTGACCATGGAAATCATGAATTGATAATATTCTTCTAGTTATTTATCCCCTCTTAGTATTATCTACTATTTTTTTTAATCCTGATAACATGATATGATATCACAATATATTCTGTATTATGGTAACAAATTAAATTGTTCTGTGGACTTAATGTTAATATAAACAAAAACTCAAAATCTAGTTTTCATTACTCAAGACTCAGGAACTATAAGAATCTAGAACAGAGCTGATATATTTAACCTTTATTAGTACTAACTAAGTTATTGTCATGGCTGTTGGTTGAGTTGTAATTTGTGTTGAAACAAGGTTTATAAAGTGAACTGTCTTGGAGACAATATATTATTGAGTGTAAAAACTTTCTACTATTTGACAACTTTGAATTTTTTGCCTTTACGATGTATAATATACAACGATTCATATCAATGCTAATAATTTTAGCAGAGAATCCACAGCTTTGATTGTTATAGTTCAAACACTAGATATCTTATATAACTAACTAACATAGCTTGCTTTTATTAACAGTGCATGTCCTAAAGGTAGTTCTATACCAGTTCCTGTTTCCTTTGAAATCCTAGAACCGGGAATATTTGAGGTTTGTTAATTCAGTAATTATATGTTGTATTGATAACTGCATGTGAATGTAATGGTATGACTGCAATGTCAAGATGTTACAAACTATGTCTAACACCTTGACTGCTTGACATCACTTTAATTGTTTCACTGAAGTTTGTATATTTTGGTAGGAGGTGTGACGATAGACTGAAATATGATATTACAGGCACTACATGATACATCATACACATAATGAATTTTGCAGATTTGTATATAACACTTTCAAATAGTTGAAGATTATACCATAAATAAACCTTGTGATGCCACAACCAGTACTTCCATAAGTTGGTTTTCAAAACTGCCATCAACATGATCTAAACATATTGATCAACAATGTTGATATTTGTCTGATTTCAGTTCAGTGAGATGATGAAGGTGAATCTAAGATATGCTCTTCCAGACTCTCAGAGTACATTAAAACAGGATTCCGTGGGTACCCCTGTTTCAATAGAAACAACATCTACCTTATCAGCTGATGACCAGCTGGCAGCTTCTGAGGAACTGTGGAGAGATCGCAGTGGGAGTACATCCTCGTTAAACACCCCTATATCAGAGAGTGCTGAAGAGAAACGGAAGTCATTTGCTACTAAATCTTATTCCTTCGGTGATCTTGGTCCCACTTTATCTACAGATTCTGATGAAGCTAAAAGAACAAAGTAAGTAACTGTATAATTGCGAGTACTTTTTACCCTCAAAGAGCTTGTCAAGCTGGGGTGTCTCTCTATGTGGACGTATATTGTCGGCACCCCTGACGTCGGTCAGTCCGTCCGTCAACATTTGCTTGTAAACGCTCTATAAACTAGATTTTTCGATGGAATCAAATATTCATAAAACGAAGATGAAGTTCGAATTTGAGCTATTTTCGACCATTAGAAGCAGAGTTATTGCCTTGCCCCAAAATCTTGAATACTAACCATCCGCATGCCGTGGTGGGCGTATATGGCTGTGGTCCACTATCTTAAACAATCACTATCCAGAAGGCCTAAACCCAGCGCACAAATTCTTCTTGGAGTGTTGGAACAATTCAACCTTTGGAGGATTCTGATTTGAAATGATACGAAAAGCATAATTACTTTCATGTAATAAGATATATTCTGATTATATTTTCAGGTTTAAGAATATTAAGAGATCGTCTGCTGTTCCTCCTCCCCGACCCCCACCACCTAGAATGTTGTCACAGATTGAAAAAGATGTCACCAATCCTAGTAACTTTCTTAAAAAATCTTTCCAAGTTTATATCCCTGGTTGATTAACATGTTTTTAATTAATAGAGGGCTAAGCGATACGTTTTCTTTAAAGTAGCCAAATTAGCCAATTTAAAGGCTATATTTTGGCATTTGCTTTTTATATTTGTAAAGGGACAGTGTTACCATTTTCTGGGGTTGATTTGAGTCTAGAGAAAAATATATGAATTGTCTTCAGAAGTAGCCTACTAGAATTGTACGAAAATCGCATAATTTCTTCAAAAATATGTCTTTTCTATATATGGCAGTGTCTCAAGAAAAGGCAAGTCATTTTTTTAACTTGGCTCAAATTTTTACGTTGAGCTGTTAACACTATTACTGATTGACTTAGCTAAGAATAATTCCAATTTCTGAGACTAAGGTACAGATGGTCAAAAAGATGGTGCATTTGTCCCTTTAAAATATTGTTATCTTTTTTTTAGTTATGGTTGTTATTTTTGTTATTGCTTCTCATTCATAATATCATTGATATTTTAATTTGTTATTTCTTTTGTACAACCTGTTAAATCTCTAGTTAATAATTACTTGTTTTGTTTTACTTTTTGTTTTATTTGTTTTCTATTTAATAAAGTTTGTTTTGTTTTGTTTATTTTTTCTATCAAATAAATGTTTGTTTTGTTTTATTTATGATTGTTTTGTTTTATTTATGTTTGTTTGTTTTGTTTATTTTCTATCTAATAAATGTATGTTTTGTTATATTTATGTTTGTTTTGTTTTGTTTATTTTCTATCTAATAAATGTTTGTTTTGTTTATTTTCTATCTAATAAATGTTTGTTTTGTTTTATTTATGTATGTTTTGTTTTATTTATGTTTGTTTGTTTTGTTTATTTTCTATCTAATAAATGTTTGTTTTGTTATATTTATGTTTGTTTTGTTTTGTTTATTTTCTATCTAATAAATGTTTGTTTTGTTTTATTTATGTTTGTTTTGTTTTATTTATGTTTGTTTGTTTTGTTTATTTTCTATCTAATAAATGTTTGTTTTGCTTTATTTATGTTTGTTTTGTTTTGTTTATGTTTGTTTTGTTTTGTTTATTTTCTATCTAATAAATGTATGTTTTGTTTTATTTATGTTTGTTTTGTTTTATTTATGTTTGTTTTGTTTTGTTTATTTTCTATCTAATAAATGTATGTTTTGTTTTGTTTATGTTTGTTTTGTTTTGTTTATGTTTGTTTTGTTTTGTTTATTTTCTATCTAATAAATGTTTGTTTTG